GATGCCCAGCCAGTCCCCGAGCAGCGGCCATCCTGGCCAGCTTTCCCCAGTTTATGTACTGAGCACGACGTCACATGGTATGGAATGTCCCTTTGGCCAGTTTGGCTGTGCCCCCTCCCAGCTTCTTGTGCACCTGCAGCCTTCTCAGTCGGTAGAGCATGGGAAACTGGAAAGTCCTTGGCTAGTGTAAGCATTACCTAGCAACAACTAAAACATCGGTGCGTTATCAACTTTGTTCTCATCCTAAATCCAAAACACAGCATTCTACCAGCTACTAGGAAGGAAATTAACTCTATCCCTGCCGAAACCAGCACAGGACATTAAAATCAAACATGTACGAAGGAATCCACCACTATTAATGTTGTTATAATGAATACCAAGGAAAGCTAGTAATAATTTACTGGTTATAAAAACTTGCCAAAATTCCTGAAAGTGAATTGCTGGTATTTGAATCATGCAGCTTTGAGCCTCCTATGAATCAAAGATTTGTTGGATTTTCTCCTGTTTTCCCTGCTGGATCTTGTCTTTATTATCAATAATGTTGCTTTTGTAGCACCACAGAGAATGCACAGCGCTTTAAAACTTCAGTGTCCAGTCAATGCAAGTAGCTGGCAGCCCGGAAACTTATGAAGGTACATGAGAAAGGCTCTTTAAATGGTCAGTTAAGATATGTCATATGCAAAGATTTGTTGGATTTTCTCCTGTTTTCCCTGCTGGATCTTGTCTTTATTATCAATAATGTTGCTTTTGTAGCACCACAGAGAATGCACAGCGCTTTAAAACTTCAGTGTCCAGTCAATGCAAGTAGCTGGCAGCCCGGAAACTTATGAAGGTACATGAGAAAGGCTCTTTAAATGGTCAGTTAAAATATGTCATATGCAGGGTGAGAAATGCTTTGCAAATCATTCATCCAAGAGACATGGAGGTGGATGTTTATTTAGATCCTGTTACAGTTAGTAACCTTTTGTTCATTAGTACACTAGTAAGGTCATTGTCACTATTGATCTATGCCTCACCTACCTGAAAAATGCAAAGTTCTTCTTGAAGGAATTAGAGTTTGTGTGCTAGCAGAACAAGAGATCTAATCTAGAAACCCCTAGTGATTTCCCCTTAAGGCAGTGAGAATATCTTCTTCTCTCGATACCAAATCTGAATAACCTTGCCATGAATTTGCATTTTTGGTTCAAAGCCCATTGCTGATTTCCTTTTCCTTGATTTACTGAGTACACAAAATATCACCCTTCTAAGACCTGAGTAATGTAATTTCTTTTTGTTTACAGTATCTGTGGCTAAATGACTCAGTACAAACTGTAGTTGGGGTGTACTTTGCAGAGTATGTGGGCTGGAGACAGCCAGGATATCTGTAACTTGTTACACAACTTTGAACAGGTCACTTAAACGCTTGGCATATCATTTACTCTGCCTTTAAAGTTGGAACAGTGATATGGATCCACCATAGTTACTGTGAAGAGTACAGGTGTGAAAGATATTATAGGAATACAAACTATTTATAATAATATTTTGTGCAGGCCAGTTGTAAAAAGCAGTGTGGGATTGCTTCCCCCCCTGCCCCCGTCAGTAACAAGTGTAATTTCTAAGGAAAAGTTCACACAATTTACATGGAACTTCTCGTAACTGTGTTGTGAGCTGGGTGGGGGACGGCATGCTGCATTTTTCCATACACTATTATCTAGTTCCATTGCTAGATGAGTTTTTTAGTAATATACGTGTGTTTGTGAAGACACACGAAACAAAATTCCTCCCAGGACTTCCTGAAACAAGTGGCTCCCTTATATTCTCGACTCCAGTTGCAAATCCACCTCATCACAAACCATAATAGCTTAATACATATAGGAAAGTGAAAACAGATGAAATTGGTAGGAAGCTTTTCATTAATATGTGATTCTCATGATCCTTATATAGAACAGGTCTCTAAGGAATGGCAGTAACAAGTAGTCATATCATTTGACTCTTTGGCACAAGATACTTTTGTTTTTCGTCTCATCTGCTTATAGTTAATGGTAAATATTCTGCTATTTCTTCATATGATTTGAACTAAATACTAGATAGTTAAAGCAAAGATGCTATGTCTATATGAAATACAGTTTGTTTATGAATTTTCACAATTTCTGAACACAAATCTCTGTGACAGAGATAAAGGGCTTCACAATAAAATTCAAGTCATTGGCATTATTTTTGGTTTGTGCTATGCATCTATACCTCTTTCATCTCACCCTCCTTTATGATGATGTTTTCCTAACACTTCTTTCTCTCTTAAACTGAAATATGGCTTAAAACACAGGCAGACTGAACTTTAGATCTAGGTTTGAAGTACAGCCATGCAAAATTCCCCCCATTCAATTAGAAAAAATGCTTTCGCATCAGAAACATTAAACCATCTGTGCATTGCATATCCCTATGAATGAGCATAAACCATTGTGAGAAGGTTTTTGTGGTATGCAGCTTTAATGTATGGTTTTACAGGTATCCTGTAATGTCTATGTGCTTATGCTAATGTATGTAACATTGGTGGTGTTTTTCCTGTCATGTGATACTTACATACTTTAGACTTAATTTCCTAGTGTTTTTAAACTGCCTGGTTTATCACGCTGTAGAACCTTTTAACATTTTCTCATTTTCCAATTGATTCTTGCTTACATTTTTAAATGGGATGTTGTCCTTTAATCACAATTATTTGCTGACCATGAACAGAAAAGCCTAAAGGAGGGAAGACAGATGAAGAAATTCTCAGTATCTACTTCATATAAAAATGATGACTTTAAGGATGCAGGGACCAGCATTGCTAAAGGTACTAGTAATAGGATATGGTCTGTCTTACCTCAAGGCTGAGATAACCTTGAGCCAAAAAGCTAAACGGGAATGGAAATGTAACTAGCTGTAACTCTGCAAGAGTAGCGCCTGGAAAATCACTGATGAGGAAGTGCTGCAAAATGTTGCTCTTGTCTCTGCTGCCCCTTTTCACATAGCTTCAGCTAACAGAGCTGTCAGTGTACCTCTGCTGATCATGAAATCACTTAATGAAATGAAGTGTAACCAGCTCTCTACTAAACTAGTGGTTAATTAAGTGTGACCATCAAGTGATGGGAACCATAGTAGTATACAAGGGAATGCTTGTTCATTCCTGAAAGGCCTATTAAAGTAAGAGGAAATATGTGATCAGCACAGTTGTCTGAATGTCTAACATGGTATGGCGTGGGAATGCCAGCATCAGAGTTCAAACACATGAGGAGTTACTGCTGCTTACTTGAGGTACTGAACAAACCAGAATAACTTACACTATGTGATTGTAATCAATGCCTAGCACACTTCTGAGGGGCCAAAGCAATGAAATGGTTGACTAACTTGCAGTATCTCATTAAACTGGTGAATCTTGCTTGTCTGAGATCATAGATTGTGTGCAAAAACTCAACGTTCTGCCACTGAGGCTACTCCTTACTCCATGCCAGCAGAGAAACTGTGAGGAATTACCAGTTTCTGCATATTTTATTTTGAAGGGGTTACAGAAAAGAATTTGTATTTTTGTGCAGTTTATATTTGCAAAGAGCTCTGTAGATGTGAAGTCCCACAGCTTCTGCTGTGATATTGCTATAATCACCCCTCTTGTGTATGGTGGAGCAGAGATGTGGATATGAAGTAGCCTACTGAGGATCGCAAAGTGAGTCTGTGGCAAATCTGAAAGGAGAACTTCAGAGTCCTGACTTCTTTTCTTCTCAATATTAATCTCTTACTTGTAAAGT